CCGACTCAAAGTCGAATAGAATGATTTCTATCTTCGAGTCGGTAATCAGAATCAGCTACTGCCTTGTATGCAATAATTTCAATAATTACAAAGCTGCTGTCTGCTGAATGCAACCATTCGTTTTCTCTTTCGGGAGAGCTGCTTGAGATTGTTCCAACAAATCTAGCGTACTTGAAATATAGGATAGGTTTGTTCTACAATAAAGTCATAAGCAGTAAGCCTTAAGAAATTAATTAATATTACCAATTAGTTGATTATTTTTCTCACGCTTAACTGTGATTGACCAATTTTTTAAGGCCATGGCACATAAAATTTAAGGCAGTGAGGAAATCAACATGTTGAATTGGCTACTGTTTACATTATGCCCTTACGGACGTGATTGGTTAATTCGCTATTTGATAAGAATAACACAATTTTAACTTATCAAAAATCAAATACATTGGAATATTCACTTTCTAATAGGTTGAAATCGTATTATTTCTATTATCGCTATTTTTCCGCATTGTATTTAAGACTTAAAGGGCTTCACATAAATGTATAACAGAGGCTACAGTCCACTTGATGCTATAAATACTTCGAAGCGTTTGATTGACTAATTGAAAGAAAACATTTTACTAATTAACCAATCAAAAAATATTTCAAAGCATTTGTAGCGTCAAGTGAACCGCATCCAGAGCATAAGCATAATATAAGACTGCTGGACCAATGAGAATCTAGCATAATGTTGCCATGTTGATTTACATAAGATGCTTATTGGTTTAACGGCCTTATGTTATGCTTATACTCTATTATGCATTTCATATGTAAAGCCCTTAGAGTATATCTACACAAACTTGCATAGCCGCATAAAAAAAATTATCCAATCGCATTTCTCTTATAAAGAGAACCTTAACTTTAACACTTTAACTTTGCTAATTTTATGCAAAGTAGCTTTTGGTATGCACTGATTTAGTGTAGTGACAAAAAAGTGACCGAATTCGCTATAACATATCTTTTCAACTTTGAATGTGTTCCGAATTGGATTATAGCTAAGCTTATTTTTTCCTTTAGACGTTGGCAGTAATTAAATTGAGTTTAGGGTATCCATCATGAAACTTTTTTGCTAGGATAAAAAGTGAAAAGTGAAAAATTTCTCCATTAACTTTAATGGTAAAAATTTTTACTTTCCATCCTAGGGATAAAGTTTTATGATTGATACCCCGAACTCATCGGTCGTCAAATTTAGCTACTGGCTTCTAACCCCATCCTCATATAGACAACAACACTTTGACGCAGAGCACTGATTGATGAAAAGCCGGTTGTGGGGATAAAATTTACCTCCATCATCCATTTTTCACCAATCAGTGTTCGGTGTCAAAGCGCTGTTGTCCGTATGAGGATTCAGGCTAATATCTACGTTCGATAATGCAAATCTGAGGCGTCGGAGTGCTCTTATACTATAGCATATGTCACGTACACTGTAGAAAAAGAGCACTTCGACGCCTCAGATGCATTGCCGATCGCAGTTATTGGTTACGAGTTATGACAGCCGACGATGGCGTTTGGAACACTTCTCGGTTTAATTACGGAACTGCCAACATTTAGGGGAAAAAATAAGCTAGACTAACCCGGTTCGCAATACACCCTTTAAGCTCGATGTCCACGATGCTACAAATCGGTCTGAGATCTCGGACAGAGAAAAAATTAACCAATCACATTTTAACAATTTGATCACATGACCATTGGCGATTGGTCAATTCTTTCTTTATCTGAGATCTCGAACTGATTTCTACCATCGTAGACATAAAGCTATAGATACGTTACTGAAGCAGTATGTGTCACGCATGCGCCAGAAAAGTGACCCGTATATTGGTATGTTTTCTATTGTATGTTACTATAGAGCACTAGACTGCTCTAGAACTCTTTCGCGCTTTCGACAAATATCAAATGTATAAAACTATCTCACTTTAAGTTTTAAAAGTGTACACTAGTTCAACTACAAAAAACGAACCTTATCACTATTTAGTAAGTAGTAGGAAAGTAGGAAAATGTAAGGGTTGCTTTGTTTTTACGGCTGTTCTCGCTGCCCAACGGAGTTGGTCGCAGTCAGAAAAAAGTGTTGAATAAGTTAATTTCGTATAGATGTTCTAATTCGTGACATTAGTTCTCGTAGAGTTCTATTATCAAGAAAAGATATTCCATCCATTGATTCTTTCGGAGGTTGGTGGCATTTACCTAAGAGAAACAGCAGAGTAAGTACAACTACACAATGATAAAGATTATTAATTCTCAATGGGAAACTCTTTGACGACTGAGAATTTAAAGCTCGATCTCTTAAGTTTATTTTACAATGTACTTTTTGCATCTTCCTCTTTGCATCTGTTTTTTGCATTTTTTATTTTTTACTATTTATTTTTTTACTTTTATATTATTTTTCATTTTTTGTTGCATGGGATAAAAGTTAACGAACTTCGAAAGAAACGACAAACACGTGGTGAGACAAAATTGTCGGCCGTAAAAAGGAAAAAAGAGAGAAATGTTTTTGTTTCTTGTTTCCCAACAGGAAACAAAAAGCATATTGTAGAATAAGCTTTAAAATCAAAAAATAAGCTTAAAATTAAAAATCATTTCATTAGTTAACTTCTTTCCAGATTCTTTCCAAGAAACATTCCAAACATGCATGTCGAAACGTTCGAAATTTCTCGATGTTCCGCCATCTTTCGGATACTATGTTTAAAGATATTTTAATATTTTAAATAGTATTTTTAAACGCTTTACATCTTGATTTTGAACTACCTGAGCTAAAATTACCCACCAACAGACTTAAGATCTTGAATAAAAGTCGGATTGTGGATACCATTCGTAGCATCTTGGCGTCCTCTTTAGTGTCCTTATTGCGAAAAAAGAAGTCTGCCATGATGCTTAAAATGTGCGGAACTACGAGGAAATGATGCTGACTTACACCCGTATTCATAGTCAGGCCTTATATTTAAGGCTTCCTTAAATTTATCTTCAGATACTCTACGTATTATTTCATTGGTTACTGAGCACGAGCTACTATGAATACGAGCATTAAAGCTGTGTTCAGATTTAGGAAGATTTTATTCTATATGCTATAGTGTACGTCACGTGTACTATATATTTCGAATAAAATTGTTCTCAGAGGAAGTTCTGTACTGTAGTTTTAGCCCGGATCCTCATACGGTCGACAGCTGTGAATGCTGATTGGTGAAAAATGAGTGATGAAGGTAAATTTTACCTCCACATCGGCTTTTTACCAATCGTTCGGTGTCAAAGCGCTGTTGCCCATATGAGGATTCGGGCTTAGAGTGGGTATAAAGAGAGTGGCGCCAATGCATGTATCTAAAATGCTGATTGACCCCTCCATTAAGGGCCGGTTGTTCCACCTTTTGATAAATTTTATCTGTGAGGTTAATCTGGTAATGGTAATCCGCGCATGTAATCTTGCTACTTATCCAACAGGTAAAATTTACCAAAAGTGGAACAATTGCGGCAAGCGTTTTCGCGTCCAGTATACAAGAGCCATAAGTGTCCTTACTGTTCGTTGGAAAGAAAACTGGACTGGACATGCGCTATGAGCGGCCGTGCAGCGTGAAAGCATCATAGGTTCAGTGCCTGGAAAATCATTGTCATTTTTTTCGATTGTGCGATCTGTATTGTATACCTTTTTTTTTACAAGTTATAAGGGAGTCACACAAAATGTTAAATACTGATATTAATCAAATTTTGTATACATATAAGCTACATAAAAAGATTAATTTATAAAATGTTAGTTGCGACGGAAAAACTGTTTGAAGGGAAATCATTCCTTATAAATAACGCGGATTTTAGCTTTTTTTTATTGTATCTTAATAATTATTCGAGACATTAAAAATGTTTTATATATACTACTTTTACAATAAAATTACTTCTGTTTATCCACGTCAATAATATATTTAAAAAATAAAATTTTTTTTAATTAAAAAAAATGGTTTAATAAAAATTATTGACGTAAATGAGTAAAAGTAATTTTGTTGCAAAGCTTTGTATAAAACATTTATTGATATTTCGAATAATTTTCGAGATATAACGGAAAAAAACTGAAAATTGTTTTATCACATAAGACATAATTTTACCTTTCAAAACCGTTTTTTTGCCGCAACAATCATTTTCTAAATTTATTTTTTTATATAATCTATATGTATATACAAAGTTCCATTAAAATTAGAATTTATCACTTTGTATGGTTCCCTTAATTACTGTATTTTTCGACCTTTGAACATCAGTGGCTTAGTTTTAGTCAAATTCGACTGCAGGATCAATAAAAGAAGAAGAAAAAGAAAAAAAATTTTTTTCGTTTATATTTCATAAAGTTACGAAGTCTGTTAAAGAGTCAAATTTTGCAATTCCGCTCTAAAAAACATAATATTAAAATAATATGTTCCTTTTTCATGCAAATACATATTTTCACGATATTCTATTTTGGAAAAGTAATATTACATCAGAAATCTTTCTGGTTTCTTTTTTTTTATGAAACTACAAAGACGCGTACAGAGTCGGATTTTGCAAATTAATTCTTAAAAAGTTATAATACATTATAACTTATTACATACATTATTATGTGCATCTCAACTGCCTTAATACACATCGGATGAGATATCAGAACGAAAATTTTTATTTTTATTTAAAAAAAATTATTCTGTACAAATCTTTTTCACGTGACCTGAGTTATGAGTTATGAGTATGAGTATGAGATTATGAGTATCGCAATTAAAACGTTATTCATGCAGTATTTTAGCCGTAATTTCAGTAGGAAGAAATTTGTCTCCGACTAAAGGCTTCATAGTCTTTGCTATCGACTCTTAAAGAATCGTTTGTGCTGAAACCCTTAAGTCTTAAATGCTGACGTATGCATTTGCATGCACGAGGCATCGTATATTTCTGATAAGTGTGATGTTTGTCGCGCGCGACATGTGATATCCAATGAGCGTATATATATATACAGTTTTACCGATGTTTTCATTTTAAAGTTTATCATGACTTTTATCTCCGCCGTAACTTCCTGTTAGCGGGGATGCGTATGTACTGCTCCTGGGTGATTTTCGTGATACAAGAAATGTTCATATATAACATTTTGAACATTTTATTAATATTTGAACATTCTGTAAAAATTCTTTGCTTCTAAATGTACAGCATATTGGAAATCGAACGTTTCATAAATGATTAACGTTAGCTGTGTAAAACTAAGAATTATATAATAATTAATTTTCAGATACACACAATAGCCGACAAAATTGACATTAAATTGACGAAGAAAATTACAGAAATACGTAATCAGATAAAGGATTCTTTTTCCAATTTCATGCGTAAAATAAATAATAACAAGTTCTATAACTTTTTATGTAGAATATTGAAGAAGTATAAAGTTCGAAGCTATACGCTCATTATCGCGCTGGTCTGCAGCCGACATTGCTGTTAAATGGCACAAAATGGTAGGGCTATTCTTTTTGGCTGAATTTTTGCACTAGTTCATCTTTCTTCCTTTTCTCTCCAGGAGGAAAGAAGAGGAAGAAAGATGAACTAATGCAAAAGTTCAGCCAAAAGAACAGGCCTGCTGCCTCAATTCTGTCTGATTATGATCGAGAAGATAACTTCAACGCAATATCAAAACAGGGGTGGAAGGATTAATTGCGCGAACTGTACAAGTACCGGATGTCTCGAACACGTCTATTTTTTCACCTTTTAAAATAATTTTTTCAAATTTCTAAAAATTCACGAACATACTTTCAATTTTTTAGAACAGATTTTTCATTTTGGAAAATAAAGGACCCCGCATAAATCTTATGGAAATTGAATTTCAACCGAATTGCTTGAAAATTTGAATCGTTCTGATAAAAAATTTCCACAGGCATGACCTCCTGTAATGAGAAATGATATTTGATCTCTACGAGGCGTCATTTTTTAAAACGGGCTAATACTACAATATCTTATTTTCAACGAGTATGATGCATTTCTACATTATTATTTGCTTTTTCTGTGTATATTTTTAAGTAAAAAAATTACAAGAATAATATTGACTTAATTATTTCTCACAAAAAAGCTATAAGGATATTGAAGCTAGAAGGATATTGAACGATAACTTGATTTTTGAGATTTAAGTCAACGCTGTGTGTGTTGTTTCATGTCTAGAGTGCGGAATTTTTGACACAAAGAACCGCTTTGTTTATACTGAGTGGACTGTGTGCCAGTCGAAGTATTGCTATCTTATTTCAGTAAACATCCGGCTTGTACGCAGCGAATAGCTTTGTACATATCCCGAGATCAAGGAGCTTAAACTCCTGCGACCTATTAATTCTTTTCAGAGTTACTCTTCAAATCAGTTGTTTTTACAACTACTTTTACAAACAACTTTTACAAACTTCTTTTTAGAGCTATTTTTCATAACAGTTGTTTTCATAATTACTCATACTATTAGTTATCTTATCAGTTAAATATTTCTTGTAAGAAAATTATATTTTTTTAATAATAAAAATTCATTTTTTTATTGAATCTTGTATACAATACTCACAATAATCGAAAGCACCCCGATTTATGAGAGGCGAGAGGACTCACAATAATCGAAAGTATCCCGATTTATAAGAAACAATCAGGTGAATATTAACTTATAACTTACCTTATAACTTTTTACTTAAAAATATACATAGAAAGTGCAAATAATGACGTAGGAATGCACCGTATACGTTGAAATAAGAAATTGTATTATAGTATTAGTCCATTTCGAAAAATGACGCCTCGTGGAGGTCAAACGGTTCATTACAGGAAGTCGTGCCTGTAGAAACTTTATTAGAATGATAAGAACTACAACAAATCATCAAATTTTTCAAGCAATTCGACCGAAATTCAATTTCCATAAGGTTTGTACGGGGTTTTTAATATACAGGGTGTTAGTTAAGTATGTTGTCATACTCAACAGAGCGATTCAATCAATTACAGTCGAGTGCGAGGAGAATAATCGATTGTGATTCGTTTCTTATGGCTTAAGGAAAGCAGAAGACTAAAAGGAAAGCAGTCTATGTTTGTTTCGCTTCAACTTATTATATGCATTGAGTGAATCAATTCAGATAGTGCAGAAATGAAGAACAGACCTCATATAACGGGCGAGTTTTTTAATTCATCGATTAATCAATCTTATTGTGCGCAAATGCAATTTTGTTCCAAAAAAGCTGTATTTGCGCATAATGTGATTGATCATTCGATAAACTAAAAAATTCTCTATATCATATTAAACAAATTACTAAACCACCAACGAGATACTATGGCCTTGGTCCGATTTATAATGACAACGCTCATGAGCATCATTTGTCTTCGTTTAACATTTGACAAACAGCAAGGATAAAATGATTTTTAAGCGTTGTGAATATGAATTGGATCGCGGCCTATTAAAGACCGTCGGTCCTGGGCAAATTTTCGTGACTATCAATGGGGCTCCGGGGATAATTAAAAAACGATGACGTTTAAAAACTGATGACAATTAATAAAAATTTACGATTATTAACATATTTCAATAATACATTATTAAATTCGCAGATTTGCCACTGAATCACTATTCTCACTTTACTCACTATTTTACTCACTTGTTTATTTTTTCAGTAAAAAAAACTCATCATTTTCATTTTTTTCCCGATAAAATTGTATTATTTCTATGTTTGTTATAATTTCTGTCTAATAAGTTATACATTTTTAAAATTTTTGTTGCGTATTTTCCTCTAATACTCTAATCCAATATTAAGAGAAAATTATACTAATATAAAGTGTTAACTTATGTTCTAATTTTATTGGTTTTGAAAGATTTAAATAAACTTATAGAATCTTAATAAATTAGATATATTAAATAAAGATGTATTTAATTTGAAAATAATAACTTTGTATTATCAGTTACTTGTAATCACTTAAATTTTAATCGGCCCGCGAACTTTCATAAGCGCCGACCGTCTTTAATAGTTCTCGTCGGTGTTAATACTAACCGCTTATTGGACTACAGCCACCAAGTCAAAAATGGCGGTTGAAATAGCCAATGGGAAAGTTGATGGTGTTTTAGCTCAGATAAAAGGATACGTTACTTCAGTATATCTAGAGTGATCTAGAGCTTTGTGCTAAGCTGCTTTTTTTCTGAACCAAACCAACATAATCGTTTGTTGCTTTTCGCTATCTTGGAAGATTCCGATTCGTCCATTCAAATGGTCTTTCTTTCCCTTTTTTCTTTCACTGACAAAAAACGTGTGTACCGCCTTACAACTTTTTTTTTATCTGTGTTCTTTTTATGTGTTTATTTACATATATTTTTGATTTCCTGATTTTATTACGTTGTGTTAACGTGCTGCTTTTGCAGATCAACCAGTGTCCTATGTTGTTTATTCTACGGCTTTGTGCGTGATGAATTACGTCCTCCAGTCGCTAAAAATTTGATCGTTTACAACTTCGCAAGCGTGAAATTAATAACGTGTGTAATATGGCGTACTATGATGCTCATATGGATGCCGAGCAAATGCCGGCTGTTGATCGGTAAGAACAAGAAAAAAAAACATTAGATAAATGAATCTGCTTGGAATAATGCATTGCATAGTAAAAAAGACCTTTATATTAAATATTTGTGTAACATACTTGTATAACTTGAATCAGTAAATTATATACGTATCTCTGAAATTATAAATTTGTTTCATATTTTTAGAACGATATCCTAATGATAATTTATATCTTGTATAGTATTTTTTATATTTTACATTATTTACAGAATGGATGCCGAATATACGATATATGTGACGAATTTGCCAATAGAATTAAACGAGGTAAAATCTATTAATTTATTTAATTATATATTATACTTATTTAAGCATTTTATGATTCTTATTAAAACAATTTTTGAATTGGTTTTTTTAAATAAATTATACATTATACATATA